GGAATTTAAACGGGGCTCATGCAAGCAGGAGGGACGAAGTGTCCAGGGACATATAATTCCAAGTGACAACATGAGGCTGGACAGCGGGCTGAGCCCCAACCACACGTCGCCATGAGGGCCGACGGGCTCAAGTTGCCCAGAGTCCGGTGCATGGACATAGACTTAAACAAGACAACTATGTATACTTTATAACTTTTTGTTTAAGATTTATGTATTTATGTATATAAGAACTGGGGTACAGGCTAGAGGTGCAGGGAGTGAGAGAATGCAACAGAGGCAGAGTGGGGAGCAGAACAGGCAGATTGACTGGAACACTGCTGAGGGCAGTGGTGGGCGAGGCAGTGAGGTCTGCTGTGCCCTGTGGGTCGGCTCCCTGTGGGGGGTTGAACTCCTGCTGTGCTGCAGTGGCTGCTAACAGCTTGAGTGCTGCACTTGAACCCTTTGTGCCACCAGGAAGGCTCCTTTCAAAGTCTTTATTGAAATTCAAGACACATCCTGAACAGAACACACTTCAGGAGGCCAGTTCAATGAATCGTGACTCCGTGTGGACATGTGTAATCGCCACTCAGATCGAGTGGAAACATTTCTGGCATCTACGAGGTCTTCCTGCCGTGTCTGTGCTGACCTCTGTAATCACAGATTAATTTTTCTGGTTCTCATATTCCTATAGTGGATTTATACCCTCTGCTCTAAGTTTATCTGGTCTACTTTGGGTGGATGTTTGGACAGTTTCCCGTCTGGGGCTGTCGTCAGTCATGCTCCAGGCATCTTTGCTGATTCTGTGTAGTGAACACAAGTGCTCACTCCTGTGGGCACAGGCCAGGAGTGGAATTGCAGAGCTCTTTGCAGCAATGTCACAGAATTACCGACAGTTCCAGGTAATTGACACCATTGACAGCATATAGTACTGTCGGCCCTTTTAATTTTACTACTGAAAACTAATTTAGATGTCCTGGGGACAGAGTAGTTTCTCACTGTAATTTAAGTTTGTAGCTCCCTGACTATTAATGAAGGTTTGCTAATTGGCTCCTTTGCCCATTTTTTAAAAAGATTTATGCATACAGAACTGGGGTACAGGCCAGAGGTGCAGGGGTGGTGAGAGGCTTCACCAGAGACAGAGTGGGGAGCAGAACAGGCAGATCAACAAAGCACACTGCTGAGGGGAGCAGAGGGCGGGTCGAGAGGTCTGCCGCGCCATGTGGGTCACCTCTGGGGTGGGGATCCAACTCATGCTGACGTGGCTTTAGCTTCTTAGTGGTGTGCTTTAACCCGCTGCGCCACCAGGGAGCCCCCTTTTGCCCATTTTTAATTTTTTCTTAATGATTTGCAAGTGGAGGTCCTCCCTGCTGGCGCAGCGGGTTAGGACTCAGCTTGCAAAGCCACAGCCCCTTCTGTGCAAGTTCCATCCCCGGCCCCAGAGGCGACCTCTCCTGTCTCTCTTGCTGCTCTGCTCAGCAGTGAGCTTTGTCCATCGGCCTGTTCTGCTCCCCACTTTGTCTCTGGTGAAGCCTCTCACTGCCCCTGCACCTGTGGCCTGTACCCCTGTTCTGTATGCATAAATAAACAAATCTTTTAAAAAAATGATTTGTAAGTGGTGTATATGTTTTAGAATACAAAATCTTTATTGAATATATTCTTCAAATAACAAGACTGATATTTGAATAAGACTCCTGCACAAAGAAACAGGCCTGTGGAACAGAATGGAGTCCAGAAAGAATACCATGTGTACGCCAGGAGCTAGCGGCCAGCAGCAACAGAATCATCTTCCTAATGAGCGGTGCTAATCAACTAGAAATTCAGAGGGGTAAAAAGATCTTTGACCCCCTCCCTCACCCTTTATATAAAAATTAAATGGAGAGCGAACATTAGATTGTTAAACTAGCAATCTTCTAGATAAAACCATAGAAAACATCTTCATGACCTTAGTGTGGGCAGAGATCTTTTTGATAAGAATCCAGAAAACATTCACCATAGAAGACTGACAGAAAGGACTTCTCTAAGATTTATAATTTTAGTCCACTGGACAACATAGCTTTAGTTCACTGCTAAGGGAATGATTTGATTATTGTCATCATTGCTTTTTTTTTTTTTTTTGCTCTGTTAAGGGCATCCCAGTTGGCGGGCACATAATCAGTTACTTGATAGAAAAGTCTCGAGTTGTGTATCAAAACCAGGGTGAGCGGAACTTCCACATCTTCTACCAGCTGCTGGAGGGTGGCGAGGAGGAGCTTCTCACTTACCTGGGACTTGAGCGAGACCCCCTGCTCTACAGATACCTCTCACAGGTAGGAAGCGTCTGGCTGAGGCGGCCCTTGGGTTAGAGGGGTGTTTGGTGGTGGCTGCTATAACATATTCAAGAACTTCCTCATTGTCATTCTTGAGATATCATACTGACTGATTTCTTGAAGCTTATCCCAGGCAACCTTTACTGCCAGGCAGGTGTGTCCTCTGAGTATGCGATTCTCAGTCCTACCTGAAATTTGAATCACCCAAGGAGCTTTGGACATACAATTTCCTGGCCTCCACCCTAGAGATTCAGGTTTAATTGGCCTGGGAAGGGACTGGGACATCAGGATTACCTTAAGCCCTGCTCCGTGATCAAATGTAAATCAATGAGTCCCCAGGTGATTCCCAGATACCAAGCATCTTCAATTTACTTAGCAAAAAGAGCGAGAAAAATCTTTTTAAAAACACACATGGAGATGAATGCTACCATCCACCCACAAAGAGAAGCCTCTTCCCAGAGCAGAAAGAAAATGCTAAGTAAGTCTGAAAAGAGCAGTGGACAAGTCACCGTCTGCTGCGATGCCACGAGGCTGCATAGAGTGAGCCCCATTCCCGCCACGATCCAGCGCATCCTGAGCTAGCTCACACTTGCTTCCAGGGAAAGCTGGTCCAGGACTGGGCTGAGGCTCCTGAATGATCCCCACAAGTGCCATTAAGAGGCCCACTGCTGTGTCAACAGGGTCTTCGTGCCAAAGAGTCCTCTATCAATGACAAGAACGACTGGAAAACCGTGTGCAATGCCTTTGCTGTCATCGATTTCACTGAAGATGACCTGGAGGTTTGGCACCCGCGGGCGGGCTGTCTGGGGTTGAAGGGCTCCATCCTGTTCTGAGTGTCGAGGTTTCGAGGGGTGCAGATGAAAGCATGGGCAGCCCGTTTCCAGGAATAGCGGACAAACTGGCTACGCTTCTCACACCACGCGGCCCCACACTGCATGACATGAACCGTGACTGAAAACTCAGTCTCTGGATACTGGCAACCTTCATTGGCGGTGCCGGGTCCCCCCACCAGCCCTACGCTTCCCGGAACTGTGGGAAGGGGAGATCATGCTCTCCTCGCGTCTGATCTCAAATCAGTAGGATGTGTAGGCTCTCCCAGGTGATGCCCATAAAGAATTCTGTTTGGAGCAAACTTAGGTCTTAGAAACATTGTCTTTTTGATAAACTTGATTTTCCAAGGGCCAGGTTACCACATACGGTGTATACTGACTTCCCGAGGACCATACGGTCATCTATGACGTAATATACGTAGCGTGTGCGTATGTGCACATATGCTGACAGAACCACACATGACACACATCTGGGACTGTGGCACTTGCCCCTCAGTGTTTTATGGGTGGGTGGAGAAACATAAAAGGAGAAATGTCCTGTCTGGAGATCGACATTCCTGATTTCTGGGGACAGAAGCAACTTGGTTCTGTGAGTTGAGGCTGGACCTCCAGGGACCTCATCTGATGGCGTTTGCAGATTCGGGGGCCACTGGCTTCTCTCCCTGCCCTCCTCACTGCTTCTCACATTCCTAGAATCTCTTTGGAATTATTGCCAGTGTCCTACACCTGGGCAACATTTGTTTGGAAGAGAATCGCCAAGGCTGTGCCAACATCCCACACACCCACGAGATCAAGTGGATCGCCAAGGTGATCTGCGCTTGGAAGAGGACGGGCGGCCGGGGCCCCTTCTGGCAGTGGAGCGGCTGGGTGGCCAGGAGCAGAGGCTCATGCCAGGTTCTCTGGCTGATACTGCTTGGGAGTTTGAAGAGCATAGTGTTTGGCAAGCCACTAGGTAGAATCCAGTGGATCCAAAAACCTACTGTAATCTACTTGTATTAAAGCACAATTGTCTGATACTCCTTGAGCTGGGTACTCTGCAAACTCAAAGTTAGCAAGTAAAATTGAGTCACTGAATTTTGTTTCCTATTTCTACAGCTCCTTGGGGTCCAACCATCAGTCCTTCTGGAAGCTCTCACCCACAGAAAGATTGAAGCCAAAACTGAAGAGGTAAAAATGCAGCCGCCTTCCCGCTGCTACCGCCTCCCTGTGACAGCAGCAGGACGGAGACCAAACCCCTGAACTGGCCCAGCAGGTCCTGCCAGGCTTTCCCGTCTCAGCCTTCCCGCTCCCCACCAAGACACCATCACTGGCGCTCCATTCTCAAGCTCGCCATGCCTCCCCTCCCCCTCCCACCCCGGGCTCTTTGTATCTGCTGTTCCCTTTGCTAAAACAGTTTCTTGTGCTGCATCTAATTCAGTTCTCACTCTTTAGTTCCCAGGAGCCATGTCTTCAAGGAGCCTGCCCTGATCATCCCACTGTACCCTAATGTAGCCCATGTACCCCCTTAAAGCACCTGTCACTTGGCTCACAGCTTGACTCCTCCTTGCATGTCACACACACGCACAACTGTGAGCTCACCAAGGTCAGAGCTGGTTCTCTCGGGCAGGGTGGGATCTCAGAATCTCGGCACAGTGCACCCCAACAATAACAACCGCACGAACGAGCAAAAGCAGAGGCAGCCCCTCCCCCCAGCCCAGGTCCTTCACCAGTCACCAGGCTTCGTTTCTGTGAGACGAAGACATATCACCTGCCCTCCCAGGTGATATGCCCGCTGACACTGGAGCTCTCTGTCTACGCCAGAGACGCCATGGCGAAGGCGGTTTACGAACGAACCTTTACCTGGCTGGTCAACAAAATCAACTCCTCCTTAGTGAACAAGGTTAGTCTGCACTTTTGGGGTAATATTTTCTGATCCATGCTGTCACTTCCAAGAATTGTGTGAGAATTGACTGCTGGTTCTTGATGGACAGGGACAGTATCTTTACAGGTTGACATCACTTGTCTGGCACACAGCAGGCTCACAAAAACACATGCTGAGCAATCTCTGCATCGTGTGCCATGGTGTGGGTGCACAGTACTGGAAATATGCCAGATAGCAGTTTTGAAGAGTAGTGTATTTTAATGTGTATTAGAATAGAGATGACCACTCCTGCAGACTCATCCTAATTTGTATTTCCTTTTTAAGTGGAATTTTATTATTAAAAAAAGGGAGCCTACTCAACTATGAGTTAAGGCTATGAGGCCTGGGGCGTGGGGATGGGAGACACTTGTGATGGTGGGATGCTTCGGCTGAGTACACACATCACACACACGCATTGAAAAGGCCCATCCTCTGGAACTGGAAAAGATCATGCTTAGTGAGATAAGCCAGAAAGAGAAAGAAAAATACCAGATGGTTTCACTCATAGCAGGAGTATAATGGACCAGGTGGAAAATAACAAAAATAATGAACAACCATATACCAGAGACATTTTGTGGGGGTAGAAGGGGAATGGGATCAAAAACGGGGTGGGGGGAGGGAAATGCACAGGATTACGGTGATGGCACACGGGTGACTTGGTGATAGGAAACCCGCGGGGATTACAATTGAGATGGAAAAAAAAGTACAAAATGATGTAAAAATAAACTTTTGTAATTAAAAAAAAAGAAAAGGCCCATCCTCTTCGTCCCTCCTTGCCTGAGAGCACTTGGTCTCCTATGAAGGTGACCTCTGTACTCCCTGTCCGCTTTCCTGACTAAGTATCTCCTGTGTCTCCTTGACTGTCTGCGGTTGATTGGTGTGTGTGCATGTGTGCACGGTAGAAATTGGCAGAGGGTCTGGCCGGGCTGCAAAAAGTGTTTCCAGAAAGCTGGAGAAAGTGTTTCCACCTGCAGGTTCTTCTGTGAACCATTGCTGGAAAGGAAGAAGGCATGAGTTTATGGCCAAGTCCCAGCTTTGGCTTCAGCCACTGGATTTGGAGTGTCATAGAGTAAAGGTCAATTGACTAACGGCGTGTGTTATTTGAATAGGACTTCACGAAGAAAACTGTGATTGGGTTGCTGGATATCTATGGATTCGAGGTCTTCGACAAGAATGGGTGAGTTGGTCACTACCAGCTGCCCTTTGGTCTTCTGGCAGGTCTCAGCCTGGTTTGGGGCATCTCTGGTGTTACTGGTGTTACCTTTCACTTCTCCAGAAATTCCCCAAACTTGCAACCCCTGATGTATACGCTACTCTGAAAGTGGAATAGCCACAGCAGTGCAAATGTCTTTTAACTTCACACTTGTGAGCTATTTAATAGGTTGTTTGATTACTAGACTTTGGTTATTTATTAAAAAGCATCTTTGAAAACAAGCACAATTTAAAAATTGGTTGATTTGTGTAGCCTTAGTTATTTAAATCTTTTGCATCTCTTCAATGGTCTAACCGCTGTGAAAAACCATATGGATGTTTCGCAAACTACTAAAAATGCATTTACCTGATGACCCAGCAATCTCACTTCTAAGGACATAAAAACACTAGTTCAAATGGAAACCTGCACTCCTGTTTATTTCTACACTATTCACAATAGCTAAGCTATGGAAACAAATTAAGTGCCCCATAACATGGCTAGATTGAGATGTGGTGTGCACACACACACACGCACACACACACAATGGAATACTATTCAGCAATCAAAAATGAAAACCTCATGTCATTTGCAGTAACAAAGATGGAGCTGGAAGGGTTATGCTCAGTGATATAAGTCAGAAGGAAAAAAGTCTTAGGTCGTTTCACTCATGGGAGGTATATAGGGAAACCAAACAAAGGGTCAAAAATAAACAATTAGCAGGCAAACTGTAGCTCTAAGGCATAGAGCAGGGGAGGGGTGGGGCGAGGGGTCAAAATAAGAAAGGGAAGAGCACACTGACTGGTGACAGTTCACAGGTGATGAAGCTGTGCGAGATTTATTACAGTGTATGAAAATGTAATAAACAGACAAGTCTTTTATATCTCTAGTTTTGAACAGTTTTGTATAAATTACTGCAATGAGAAACTCCAGCAGCTCTTAATAGAGAGGACCCTGAAAGCAGAGCAGACCGAGTATGAAATGGAAGGCATAGAGGTAAACATTTCGATGTCTTGTCCTCTGATTTTATTTTTTTCCCTTCTCTGATTTCTCTGTCAAGAAACACCTGAGAAATATTTCACTGGAGAATTTTCCTCATTGGTACTAGGAATTTTTTCCCCCTCCTTGCCTGCTTATTTCCTGAGAACTTATTTTGATATCCAGAAAGTATTTTTTGTAATGTTGGACATGAAATCAGATTTTAAAGAAGATTTTTGGAAGATCAATTTAAAAAAAAATCCACTTTGTGTACACATAATCCTTCCTGGAGAATTCTTTCCTCTCTGTCATTTTAGTGGGAGCCGATTCAATATTTCAACAACAAGATCATCTGTGACTTGGTAGAAGAGAGACACAAAGGGATCATTGCCATCCTGGTGAGAAAACTAAAGGCACCTGAGTGCCTCCATGCCCACGGGGCTTCCAGCGAGCACAGAAACTGCTTCCCGGGCTCACAGAGGGTTTGGCGGGGGCCGCTCGGCAGTCTGCTAGGTCATGGATGGGTGCAAGTTGGACTTTGTTGCTCCCTTCTTTCTGGGAGCTATCGTTGTGGCTTACACCCCTAAGTTACAGCCCCCGGAAGAGAGCAAGGAGAGGCCTTTAAAGTAAATGTGTGTCGATCATCCAGAGACTTGGAAGGACAAACCACCAGGGGGAGGGACCCAGTGTAACAGGGGCTTCGTGGTCCTGTGAGGGGGAGGGGCAGCTAGCTCCCTCAGCCCTGAGCAGGAAGCCAGAAAAGCTGAAGGAAAGTCTCATAAACAAGATCCATGGAGCCTGAGTTGAGGCTCCCTGTGATCTTGTTTTGAAGCATTTCAACTTCTCAGAACCTGAGTGCCTTGGAATCCACAATCATTCCAAGCATCAGTTTTAAAAATAAATTCTGAAGGCAAATGAAAAACTGTTGCCTTGCCCTGCTCTTCCTCTGGGATCATCCGCACCAATGTAAATAACTGGGCCTCTTCCGCCCCCCAACTTCTGGGTGAACACCCGCATTCTAGAGCAGGGTGGAGACAGTGGTGAATGCTAATTGCCAGAAGAGCGTGGGCACCAGATTCAGTTCCAGCCCCACGGCAGTCTAACCTCCAGCCATGGTGGCTCCAGTGTCCCAGACTGGGGGTGTAGAAAGAACAGCGCCGACTCACAGGCGTGGAGCAGATTCCACGGGACAGCACACACACAGGGCTTGGGCCTAAGCTGCTGCCAGACAGCTGTTTAGCTGCTGTTCGTTCGGTCAGCAAATACTTACCGAGCACCCACTTCATGCCAAGACCAGATGTCCCACTTTAGGGCACAACGGTGAACAAAATAGAATGAAAGGTGCTCGCAGGGGGCGTTACCTCCTAGCCCGAGAGTGACAGCAGATAGGTCAGTAGACAGAGGAAAAAAGCAGGAAAGGCAGGGTGTGGCGGGATGGTCAGGAAAGGGCCCCTGAGAGGTGCCCTTGGAGCAAAGAGTTAAAGGAGGTGGGGGCAGGCCGTGAGCACGCCAGGGAAGGCCCCGGCGGATGTCGGCTGGGGTGTGCCCAGCCAGTGTGCACATGGATTGCCAAGCCAGTATTTTAAAATCCTTGGAGATACTTCTTTCTATTTGCTTTCCCACCATGGAGTCAGAAAGCAGAGAAATGCTGTGCACAAGTCGCCTTGCCAACCTTCACCTGGAACTTTGGTTGCTGTTTTAGTAAAAGCTACCAGGTCCATTCAGCCTTCTTTTTTTTTTTTTTTTTTTTTGCAAGGTTGTCAAGTAAATTGAGGACTGAAAATAAGAAGTAGACACAGCTTGGTGATGTAGAAGGTCAGGCCCAACTGGTATTTTTCTTTCCCGGGGACTTTGATCTAAATAGAAGGGAGGGCCCAAGGAGCCATATTTTTGATCAACAATGACTAAGAGAAAAAGAAGGCTGGATATTTAAACTGATGGTGGAAACTGTGGAGCATCTTGAGAAGACTTGGAAATATGGGTCAAGTGGCTGAGTGGTGGAACTTGTCACAGGAAAGGGGCTGACTTTTCACAGAAAGTCCATTTTATCTGAGAAACACAGCACATATATTTATGCTTACAAGAGCTGGGGTGTAGCCAGAGATGTGGGGGGTGCAAAGATTCACCAGAGACAGAGTGGGGAGCAGAACAGGCAGATCGATGAAGTACACTGCTGAGGGGAGCAGTGGGCGGGTCAGGAGAGGTCTGCTGGGCCATGTGGGTCAGCTCCCTGGCCGGGGGTTGACCCACATGCTGCAGTGGCCGCTGATAGCTTCAAAGTGCTGTGTCTTAACCCCTTGTGCCACCAGGGAGGGCCCTTGAGAAACAGAACACATGTAACAGATTTCTTGAGATCCCCTCCTGATCCCCTTGTTCACACGAACATGTATGAAATGACAGTGCTTCAGTGTTTTAGCCAAGTACATTCTGCCTTAGCTGATGAAGCATTTAGACTTGGAGTTGGGGTGAGGTGCTGTGGATTGAGGCATCTTTCCTTTCAAAGGATGAAGAATGCATTCGCCCAGGCCCTGCTACAGACTTGAGTTTCCTGGAGAAACTGGAAGAGAAAGTGGGTTCGCACGCTCACTTCCAAACGTATGTACCTCATTTGTGGGAAGGTGTGGTCTCATTTGGGGGGGCATGATATAGTGTCCCCCCAAGAGGACAGCTGCTGCTTCCTGTACAGGCATCTCCTCAACTTGCTGCTCAGATGCACACACCTCTCCTAAAGTAGAAATCAAACTAATTCTGAGAATTTTTTTATTATTTTGTACCTTTATTCAGTGATCACTACCTTTCGGACATGTCACATGTATGAAATTGTGTCAGAATTCAGGTATCAAATATAGTGGTGTATAGCTCTGAAGTCCACAACTTAATAAATTGTCCTACTTATCTTTATTCACATAACCACCACGCAGATCAAGGTAAAAGCATAGAAATGCTATTCGTGAGGGTCCCGCATCAACCTTCAGCTGGTTTGTTTCAGTGAAAGCTACCAAGTCAACTCATCCTTCAGCTTTTGTTTAAGATTTATTTGTACAGAACTGGGGTTCAGGCCAGAGGCTCAGGGGTGGCGAGAGGCTTCACCAGAGACAGAGTAGGGAGTGGAACAGGCAGATCGATGAAGTACCCTGCTGAGGGGAGCAGCGGGCAGGACAGGAGAGGTCTGCCACGCCATGTGGGTCAGCTCCCTGGCCAGGGATGGAATTCATGCTGCCGTGGTGATAGTGCTGAGACTTAACCCCTAGGCCACAAGGGGGCCCCAGGCTGTAATTTTAGACATCACCGACCTGGATGGATTCAGTGGCCAGGCTTCCTGGGGGCGGCCCCGAGGTAGCTTCCAGCACCGACCTCCAGTGACCTTCATGCTCTGCGCAGCTGTCAGAGATGTCCCTCAATCTTTGTGTTTTGCTGCAGTGAAGTGGAGCTTCAGCCTGTGTCTATTTCTGTCTCACTATAGCAGGAAGCTGGCGGGTCCACAGGGCCGGAAGAGAATTGGCTGGATGGAGTTCCGGCTCTCCCACTATGCAGGAGAGGTCACATACTGCACCAAAGGTCAGCGCCTGTGCGGCGCAGGTCAGAGCCATGCCCCGTGTCCATTGAGGCCCGCTACACATTCGCCCCAGCTGTCTCCTAATCTCACCTTTGAATGCACCATTTGAAAACGGTTTCCTTATAACTTTTATCTACAGCTACTTTTATCAAAGCAGATCACATGCCATGGAGTTCATGGAATTGCACACTTAAACTGTGCCATTCAACCACTTTTAGTATATTCACTGTATACTGGGCTGTCAGGAAAGTCATGATGCATTTTTGCATGGAAAACAAACTACGCCATGATTTTCCCGACAACACAGTGTGCAGCCTCAGATCCTCTCGGAGCAGCTGGCGGGTGCCCTGCCCCCAAGCCCCTGTGCACCGTAGCAGTCGTGTTCCCAGCCCTGTCCCCTAAGGCCCTGGGCAAAAAAATGCCTCTATTTTCTGCCTGTATGTTTGCCTGCTCTGGGTATTTTTGTGAAAGGAACCACACGCCACCTGGCTTCCTGTACGACACCTCTCGCTTGGCATAATGTTCTCTAGCTTCCGCCATGTTTTTTATTGCCAACGAAGATTCCACTGCACACTGAGACCATTCTTTTACCCCTTTCATGTGTCGTCTGGGCAGTTCCCACTCTTTGGTTGTCGTGGGCAGGATGACTGGACGTGTGAGCATACGTCCCTAAGCATCCACCTGTGACATTTCTGGGTCCCCTGACAGCTTGAGGGGTGGCCGCCGCTTGTCCCCCCACCCACCGTGCGTTCCTGCCTGTCTTTACACACCCTTCCCGCGCTGGAGTGGCCTTCCCTGGCCCCAGCTGCCCTCGGGGCTATGAGAGAGCATCTCACTGTGGGTCGGTTTGCATCCCTGGTGGCAAGTGATGTCGCACAGAGACACTGGCCACTGGCCCATCTTCCTCTCTCACTTCAGAATGGCGTATTTGTTGCTTTCAGGATTCTTGGAGAAAAACAATGATCTCCTTTACAGACATCTGAAAGAGGTAAGTCTGAAGGTGACTGTGTTCCTGATGGGCCTGTCACCCGTGACACTGGCCTTCTGGATGTTTCTCTTCTGGCCACTGTGGTAGCACTGCAGCATGTCGTGCCGGAGATGATCTGTAGGAACCCCCCAGCCCGCAAGCCCACTGCATGTGACGCCCTCCTGAGTTCCCGGCGCTGTGCTCTCTCCGCTGTGCTCTCTCCGGGGTTTCTGCAGTGGCCTGGTTCTCCTAGGACTCACCCTTGGTGGGGGTGGGAGGGAAAGAGCAGCCAGGAATAAATACACCCTTGAGTTACCCATCAGTGAGAAGGGCTGTGGAGGAAATGCAGGCGAGGGGGAGGGAATCAAAGTTGCCCTGCGGAGGTCACTTTGACTGAAACCTGAGAATGATCTTGGCCTTGGAAAGCTCTGTGATCACTCTAGGCAGATCACTACTGTGTGTCGCTCTTGGTAATAGAAATTATTTTGGAAACAAATGCACGGGAGGGAAAAAATCCAGCAGCACAAAGCTCATCTCCTTGGCCTCAGGGTCTCACTGAGAGCCAACTGCCCAATCAACTCCTGTGCCCCATGGGGGGGGGGGGTCTGTCTCTTTTGTCTTTGCACAGTAACAGCACCCCCTCTCCCCCAGTGGTCCTTAGCACTCTCTGGGAGCTCTTTTCTTTAAAGATTTATTTATTTATGCATACAGAACTGGGGTACAGGCCAGAGGTGCGGGGGCAGTCAGGATTCACCAGAGACAGAGTGGGGGGAGCAGAACAGGCAGATCAATGAAATACACTGCTGAGGGGAGCAGCGGGCGGGTCAGGAGAGGTCTGCCACACGATGTGGTCACCTCTCTGGGGCAGGCGGGGATCGAACTCATGCGGAAGTGGCTTTAGCTTCTCAGTGCTGTGCTTTAACCCGCTGCACCACCAGGGAGGGCCCGGAGCTCTTTCTTAGAGTCCTTGGCCCTGCTGTGGCTGGGCAGGGCGACTGCTCCTGTGTCAGAGGAAGAACCACTGGGGCCTCCCCAAGGAGGCTGAGCAATGTGGGCAGCAGTCGACCTTTTCCTTCCACGCTCACTTGGGTGTTTCCCCTCCTCTTCCTTGAGTCCTCCCAAAGCACACTGGGCGTGTGCACCTGCGTGAGAACTTCCTGAGCCCGAGGGCATTTGGGGCCGTGTCTCTCCCACAGGTGCTGTGCAGATCCAGAAACCGCATCCTCAAGGAATGCTTCCTGGTGACTGAGCTCGAAAACCGGAGAAGGCCCCCGACAGTGAGTGAGGGGGGGGGGGTACAGACAGCAAAGGGAGGGAGCCGCGGAGGTTCAGCGACCTGCACTTTCTAAACCCTACTCCCTGTCCCTGGGAGAGTTTCTAACTGGCTCTACTCAGGCACTGTCCAAGCTCAGCAAGCAGTCAGCCACTTGCAGACTTCAGAACATCTCTGCGTGTGGCAGCTGTGCAGGGCACAGGGATTCAGCCACGGCCAAGGCCGCGTGGTGCTGACAACCTCGTGGGCAGCAGTGTGGGCAACAGTGGCAAGTAGGGAAAGAGCTCATCAGTGTGCATGTCTCCCAGGACGCGCACCTGGTAACGAGGGAACGGGTGGGTGGGCATGATGGGCGTGGTGGGGCAGCTGCGTGTTTTCTAGTGCCAGAGGGCTCCTGGGCAGAGGCTTCTCTAGCCTCTCCTGGCCAGACTGGACTTGGGCTTTTCAGGCCAGGATATCCCACACATTCTCTTAATGAGCAAAATGTCTGTGATGTGACCACTAGGGCATTCTGTCGAGTGTGGGTGCAAAGGGCTGCTGACCCTTGCGCTCAGCTCTTGTCTCCACAACCTGGGAGCGGCAACGTCTGTTTAGTTTGCTCAGTCGTTCTCTCCCCCACCCCCTCCAGGTGGGAACTCAGTTTAAAAACAGTCTGAGCAGCCTTCTGGAAATTCTCATCTCTAAGGAACCTTCATACATCCGGTGCATCAAGCCCAATGAGAGGAAAGAACCCAGTGAGTGGTGGTTTGTTTGAGCACTGAGCTTAGGGGAATAAGGCTGGGAGAAAGCCAAGGGGGCTGCAGGTTACAGCCCTCAGGCTTGCTGCTGTTCTGTGTAAGTGAATTGTTTTTGCTTTTCAATTACGGAAGGTAAAGGCATCGGGAGGCCTGGCTTTGGGGTCCTCAGTGAGCACTGCTCAGAGCTCAGCCTGTTGGGGCCCATGTGAGATGAGGGGACCATCACTTCGCTCTAGTCTGTGAACAAACTTCTGAAATGGTCTACGAATTGCTTTGCTTTCTAAGCTTGTGCCATGGTCTACGGCAAAGTTGTACAGATCAAAGCTTGCAAGTGGCCAGGCAGAAGCAAAGGAGAGATGACGCGGTGTCAGGAGACAGGGAGTAGAGGGGACTGGCACACTGAGAGAGGGCCTCCTCTCGGGCAGCTCACCCCGCCTCCCAGCCTGTTGGGGCCACCTGGACTCTGGACCCAGGTTGATCAGATCTCCAGGTTTTCAAGAGAATCCAGAAATCCCTGCTTTCAAACCACACAACGTAATTAGGACCTAGCAAAGCAGATCTCTAGCCAGATCCAACACACGGTTCAGCAGCTGTGGCCTCCGGCCTGTTTAGGCTGAGACAGCCATAGGATCTGTTGCTGTCTCCCTCCCTTCTGTTTCCAAAGGCAAGTTCGACGATTTCCTCATAAGGCATCAGGTCAAGTACCTGGGGCTGATGGAGCACCTGCGGGTGAGACGGGCTGGCTTTGCCTACCGGCGCAAGTATGAGCACTTCTTGCAAAGGTACTATTTTGTTGATCTGATGCCAATAGAGTCCAACAGCCACAATGAGCAGGCCTCTGGATGCGGTGATGGACAACAGGCCGTCCTCTGGGAGTCGGTTTGGCTCTTAGCTGTCGCTGGATGCACAAAGCAAAACATGCCGGGGGGGCAGGGCTGGGCGACGCCCCACTCGGGTCTGTAGTTGCCTGAGGAAGACCCCCCAGCAGTGACCCGGGGTGTTCCTTTCGTGCGCTCCTTCTCGGAACAGTCGCCTTGGCCTTCAAGGGCTCCCCAGAGAAACAGGTGATGGGAACATGGGGTTGGGCTACACAGACTTGGGTCAGAACCCCCGTTCTGTCTCTTCCAGCTGTGACCTATTTCCTTATCTGTAACACGGGATTAAATTGTTCCGAGACTCACGAGGATCTAACCCCCACCACCCATGACCGTCACTCAAATTGCATGTCCATCAGTGCTTCTTTGGTGCTTGTGAATTTGAGCTTATTTGTGGTGGCGTTATTTTGCAAAAAAAAAAAAAAAAAAGGCAGCCGCAGCAATGTACTCTCAAACATAAGCAATCATTTTGTAGACCAGTATGACTAAATACTGGCAAATGCATATTTTGGTGCAATGTTGGCTTTCTTTGAAGTACAACTGCATAATATAAAAACCGAGTGCCTGAGCGGAGAGTTCAAATCCAGCCCCAGCTCCTCACATTTCGGAACTGATGCAAGAGCCTGTGCTCTGCCCGTCGGCGTTCTCTTGTGCTCTTATGTTCAGCCTCTGACTCAAGAGATCGCAGATTTCTTCCACCCAAATCGCACTTATTTTTCCTCCCCTTAGCTTGTTCTGCTATTTACCGATATTCATGTACAGGATAAAAACCCTGCTGATCTGAAACTCTGATGGGCTTCACCCAAGTTAACCTTTGAGTTAATGTAATTTTGCTGTAGCACACAGAGAAACACAGAGGTTGATACGACGCTATGTTGAGCAGCGGTGTTATTGGCTCTGGTCTTTGACATCAGTGGACCTTTTGAGGCTCCCGGCAGGGCCCACGCCCCAGCGTGGGGGCTCCTCTGGTGCTCTGTGCTCTCGTGGAGACACATGATGTGTCACTTGTGCTTTGATAACGAGCAGTGAAATGGAGTTTCTTGGGCTGTGGGATAGTTTCTTACTCCCAACCTCTACATGGTTGAGACACTTTTCTTTCTTTCTCGCCAAGAATATGTTGTTGAATTCAGAAAAGCTGGTGTGGTGTCTGCTACATTCCTGGGGGCCATGGGGACCCTCCAGACGTCCCTGTCCTCTGCCCAGGTACAAGTCCTTGTGTCCCGACACCTGGCCGCACTGGCGCGGGCCTCCCGCAGAAGGTGTCGAGCGGCTGGTCAAGTACATCGGCTACGAACCCGAGGAGTACAAATTAGGGAGGTAAGTGGTTGGGGATCCCCGGGCCAGGCTGCGTGAGGTCTGGAGGCTGGTTGTGCAGGCCCGAGGGAGGCATGCAGCTACTTCCATCCGCTCCGTTTTCTGGCAGCTCTAGCTCTCTGCAGAGGAAACCCTTTCCTGTGGTCTCGTGCTCTCCATAGTCACTGGCTCATCTTCACTGGGTACCCCACAACTTCACTGCCCCCTGGCATCTCCCTGGAGGCTTCAGACCGCACAGGCTGCCCGCAACAGCCTGCCCCCTTCCTTTAGATGCTAGGGGCAAGTCCAGGATGTCCCCCATGCTTCTGAACCACCAGCTGTCGATCAGAGGTTCCCATGACCCTCCTTGGGCTCCATTAATTTGCGGGAGTGGTTCACAGAACTCAGAAGCATCATACTTTCTAGGTTACCTGATGATTCTAAGAGCAGAACTCAGGAGCAGCCCGCGGGAGGACAGGCATATGGGGGGGAGCTGGAGCCCAGAAACCCCACATCCTTCCGGGATTTCCATGGCAGCTTCCTGGCTTGGTTGATGAATCAGTGATGACTGGTTCAGCCTCCTGTCTACCTCCATCCCCACATTCTCCTGTCCAGGACGGGGGCGTGGGACCAAAAGTTCCAAGCTCCCAACCTCAGGATTGGTTCCCCAGTCCAGGCCCCACCTCGGGTTATCCAGGGTTACCTCCCGGGAGGCTTTCTGAATATCCAGTACCACGTTAACTTCAATTTAGGACTGAATGGGTGAAAGGGGCTTGTTCTTATTTCAGTAACTGAGGATAAAAATCCAATGTTGCAAGAAAAGCTGCCCCTATTTCTCTAATCACTTATGAAATTACAGGGTCTGGGAGCTGCAGGAATAGGGACAAAGACCAAATACGTCAGCTTATTTTAAATCACCGGGTCACGAGAGCTAAGCTGTCCTGCCGCCCTGGCGTTGGCTCCCAGAGGCCCGGTGTCCTCACCTTTCTGGGGGCTCAGATGAGCAGCTCTGCTGGCAAAATAAGGAGGGCCCCGGGTGGGTTCCTAACCCTTGGGCCTAGATTCTTCCATTCTTCAGATGAGCGCCTGACCTCCTGGAGGCCTCAGACCAACGATAAGCTCCCAGCAAGTGGGAAGGTAGTGTTCCGGAACTCCCGGTGTCGGTGCACGGGGTTGTCACCGTCGTGAGCTAATTTTCATACCTGTTGAGAGCTTTGAGGCAGAACTTGGTGGGGTGAACTAGGAAGTGTTTGGTCTGTTCTTAGTCATTTTGCCCAGAGCTAACTCGTCAGGAACGGATCCCAGGCCACAGAGATGCCAGAGCTTCAGGGGTCGCTGCTGTTCTGGTCAGCACCTGACTCTGCTGTCCATGGCCACCTGGCCCCTCTCCATCCTGACATTTCTGTTCTGGGTCCTGCTCCAAGAAGCAGTTACAGTAGTTCCCCCTTCATGCATGAGGAATATGCTTTGCGATCCCTGGTAGATGGCTAAATCTGCAGACAGCATCCAACCCTGTGTGTGTATAAACACACACACATATTTATACATATAAATCATTTATATATTTATATACACATTTATATATATATTTATACACATTTTCATATACATGTGTGACATTAGTGCACAGAAACACTATTTAAATGAGGCCAGGAAGCTAGGAGAGTGCCCACACATGTGTAGTCCACAAACAACAAGACCCAGCATGCCTTGCATCTCTGACAGGAAACCACATTCCTTTCCTCACCCAATGAATGAAGGCGGCGATATAAGGGAGGGCTGACCCAGGGGAGGAAGGGGGGAGGGGGGTGCTTGTCTCCCCACTATTAGACTGCAGTTTCCAAACTGCCTTTTTCATTGTCTACAAATACACAATGTTTTAAGGTTAATATATTCATAGCAAGGATAAAGTCTAAATTTTAAATTAGGCATAGTGAGAGATAATGACAGTAATAAAACAGCGATTATAGCAATATACTATAACAGTTACCTGAATGTCTCAAAATCTTGCTGTATGTTATATTTTCAGACCATGGCTGACTGTAACTGAAGCCACAGAAAGCAAAACTGCAGACATGGGGGATTACTCTACTTTTCCCTGGGGGCAGTCAGGCTTAGCACATCCTCAGGGAGGCCCACTCTGAGGTGCAGGTAGGAAACCACCGGTGAGGAGGTGGGGTCACGGGCACGCTGTATCACTGCCCCCCAGGAGCTTCCCTGGGAAGTTTCCCTCCCTGTGCGGTGGGCAGGCAGTACACATCTGTGCACCTCTGCTAGGTGGTGGGACTGTCTTTCAGATTAGACCCACACTCTTTGCCATCGTGTCTGAAGGCCCAAGGGCTGAACTCCAGCCCAGGTTGCTGGATTTCTCGGCTTGGTGCGTAACGAAGGACCGCGGCCAGCTGGCTAACGCAGCACAGTTTATGCTCCCAGTCCTCTTGGCTAGACGTCCAGCAGCAAGGTGGAGGCGAGGTCATGCTCCCTGGAGGCCCTGTGGGAGGCTTCGCCCTGCTCCTCTAGTGTCCGCAGCTCCTCACCTTCCCTGGCCTGCTGCCTCCTCGCTCCAGTCTCTGCCTCCCTCTTCCCAAGCCCCCTTTCTTGTCATGGTGTGTTTCCTTGTAAGGACACTCTCGTTAAATCTAGGGCACGTCCCGATATGGTCTGACCTCATCCTGGTCTTTACCGCGATTACACCTGCCAAAACTCGACCTCCAAGCGTGACCACATCCTGCAGTTCCGAGCAGACCCGAGTGGCGCGGGGCAGAACTACTACGCAAGTGCCTTCAGATGCTACCTGACCAATTCATAATTACATTTTCCCCATTTTTAGAACCAAAATATTCATTCGCTTCCCCAGGACCCTGTTCGCTACTGAAGATGCCTTTGAGTTTAGTAAACATCAATTAGGTATGCTTTTTTCATTTTTCCTGCCCTCAATGCAAGAGAATGCGAAATGAACACCTTCCGTTTGGAATCCACCTTAAACACGAGTGGTTTATGTATTAACGTTTGCTTTTAAGACTAGGAGCAGGATGGAGGCTTATGGTAAGACACACGTTAAAGCTGTGGAGGACACCGCTGATGCCCGTGGGGACTTAAGGTTGTGGTGCTCCCCAACTTCTGCTTCAGATCCAATTCTGTGGTGTCATCCTAGGACCTGAAGCTTCAAAGCCCCACGCTTCTAGGTTTTAAAAATTGTGTGAGGAGTTGAGCTTGAGAGGTGTAGCTTCAAAGCCTGCAACCAGCGTGTTTGTTGTGAACAGTAAATGAGAAGTTAGACGTAGGGGTAAGGGGGTGCAAAAACTAAAAAGTCAAAACTTGCCCCTTGAGCTATACTTCTGTTGAGAAGAACTCTGCCTTGAGTAATGTGCTTGCTACACGCTGGGTGTGAACTAAACCCTTGGTGTGATCATACTGCATTTAAAGCCAACCCATGGAGGGACAGTACCTCCATTTTATATTCAGGGAAACTGAGGTGTACCCAGAGAAGTTGGTAAGGCCACACAGCTAGTGGGCAGCAGAGCTGGGGTTCCAACATGAAACTGCCTGGCTTCAGGGCGTGCACTGACCAGGCTGGGTGGGTGGTCTGTGCTAGGTGGTCTCATCTCGGTTCCTACAGCAGTGGGCTCCCATCACCAGGATCTGGCTAAGGGCAGGTGTGGGCTGCAGGGCCCTTCAGTCAGCACCTCACACCAGCGCCCAGGGGATGACACTGCTGGTCTTTAGGACCACAGGTGAGCTTGGCCTGTGGTGGGCTCAGGCACAGGTGTAGGTGTGGACAGAGTGGACAAGCTATGGGGCAAGCCTGTATGGGTCTGGGAGGCTTGGGTCCTTCCTAGCAGGTGCACTGCCTGTGAGTCTGTGCGCCCCTTTCTAAAGTAAGCTGACACCTGCTTTGTGGGGTATGAAGATGAAGTACAGTGCCTAGCATGAGTTAGGGGCCAGCAGGTATTGTGAGGGGAAAAAGGAAACTTCTGGAAGGAGGACTTGAGGTAATACACCCATTCTCACTTCTGGTCCCCAGAATGGGCTACCCCAGCCAGCTCTATGCCCCAAGGGGCCGTAGCATCCCCCCTCAAGGTCCTCAGTATAGATGAACAAACAAAAGCCATTTCACCGAAGTTTTGTTTTATTTTAAGTTGCAAGAATCCAAGCTACATACAAAGCCTGCCTAGAAAGGAGAGCATTTGTGAAAAAAAGACAAGCAGGTAAAAACAAGACTCCATTTTCTGGCCGAAGGTTGAAAGGGGGAGGGGGGGAGTGTGTGGGAGGTGGACAGAATTCTGGTTTCCCACTCATCCCTTCAGCTCCTGTAGGCACAGGTATTTGCTCTCCTGTTGTACACCCCAAAACCTTGTGTAGGGCTGACTTGCAAGTCTAGTTCTGGGACCTAGGCCTTTATTTGTTCTGTGGATGTTCTGTTTGATCTACATGTGTATGTTTAAAGAATAATTTTTTTAAATGGGTTATTAACATTTTTATCTTTGGAGCCCCTGAGTTGTACCATAAAGCCTAGATGAGTTACAGGCGATGCCATTGAGACTATTCTGTTTGTACATTTGACACAATCACCTAATGATCCATTTCTCAGAACATGTAGCTGTCACTAATCAATGCCAGTAGGCTGCCATATTTTGAACTTAGTGAAATTGTACTGTAGTTTTTTGGGCCACATTGTTGAAGCTCAACCAGTAGGTGTGTGTAGATTTACTCATTTTCACAGCCATATAATATTCCACTACAGCAAAAATTGGCATGCTTTTTCTTAAATGGTCAGACAGTAAATATTTCAGATGTGTTGTATCCATCTACTGCAGCTACTTGCTGCAGTAGCATGAAGGTGGCTTTAGGCAAAAATGTAAATGACAGGACAACATAGCTACGTGGCAATAAAATTTTATTTTCATGAACAGACATTGGCCTGAGGGCTGTAGTTTGCTGACCACTGTCCTAGGAAGAGCATCTTGCAATGTACCCATCCTGAGGGGCATTGGGTTGTTTCCAGTTGTTTTTAATATTTATTTATGCATATAGAACTGGGGTACAGGCCAGAGGATTTTGTAATAGAGCCAGTGCTGCTATGAAGATTTTTTTTTTAAACGAGTATCTGAAAAACATTAAAAATTGGTAGATAAGCTAGCAATCTAATTTTTCTGTGTCCCATTTTTTTGCATCAACATTGCAATGTGGGCGATAAACCACTCTGTGTCCCTCTGCTGCCCCGTTCAGCTGCGTCAGAGCATCCCTAGGGGAGAAGTGACAACGCTCCTCTGGCTCTCCATCTCTGGGGCTCTTGGAGTGCTGTGGTGGGCACCCAGAGTTTGTGACTGAATAATTCTGAGAAAGTCTTTTGTATTTCAATGATTGTGCTCACCTTCTAATGTCAGCAGTGAACTCTTTCAGCCATCAAACTTGAAGCTCACTGGCGTGCAGCCCTGGCTCGGAAGGAGGCCAGAAGGAGAAAGTGGGCGGTGTGGGTTATAAGAAAGTAAGTTCTCGGGTGCAGGAGTGGGAAAGGTGCCTGTAACCGCGGATGCATGCAGAGGGCAGTGGTGGTCTCGGTTGAGCTTTTCGGATTTGCACGGCGCCCTTACGAAATGTCAGTCTTCAGGGGCCAGTTGCATGTCTTTCCCTTCAGCTTAGTTGATTGGTGATCACCATGCAGGACATTTGCACTGTCTTAACCTCACTTAAAGCTCACAAAGTTAAATGTCTGTTGCTGCCAGGCAGGTAAAGTTGAGTCTCCTGAGCTGGATGAGACAGTAAGGAATGGTGGGGACTGCAGCAAACCAGAAAGCTCAGTTCACCTCAGAGGGGCAGTCAAAAATCTCACCCAGCTGACCACTGCCATGGAGAAATGGCAGGCTCGAATGTCCAAGCCAGCTGGACAACTGGCTTGTATGTCACCCTCCCATTTTTGGTGGCAACTAATTCACAATACTAAAAACAGTGTGAATGAGAGAACATCTCTGTGGGGCAGATTTGGTCTGTGGGTGTCATCGCTGTAGCCCTACATGGTAATCAAAATAATTTCTACCATTTTGGCGTTCTCTGAATCAAATGGGGGAAAGAACACAAGTCTCAGTGAAAATATGGACCAGAAAACAAAACACTCTGCTCTTTAGGTTCATAAAGGGATTCATCAACCGAGACAAGCCCCTTTGTCCTGACAATGAGGAGTTTATCATGTTTGCACGGAAGAATTACATCTTGAATCTTCGGTATCACATCCCAAAGAACGTCCTGGACAAGAGCTGGCTGAGGCCTCCTGGCATCCTGGAAAATGTAAGGCCTGTCTGCAGCCCTGCAGCCAGCGGCTCAGGCACAGAGCTTGACATCTTTGTGCTGCATCCCTGGGCTCAGAGGGCTGCTTTAGCAAAGCATGTCGTTGCAGGGTGTTGCACAGAAAGATGATGCCTCAGTGTTCACAATATCCTCAGTGGCCATGAAAGCCAACAGCAGTCTGGTTAGAGAGCACTTTGAACAATTTCTGGCTTAGTGACGGTGGCCCTAATGACGCTGTGTCATCAGCAGCACAGAGGGAGCTACTCAACCCAGCACAGCAGCCAGCTGTGGGATTCAAACACATTCAAGATTAAGGACCACTAGTTTAGCAGTAGCAAAAAGCTAATCCAAGGCTAGATGGTCATCTGCTTCTCATGCACTGAAAACATTAAAACTGTATTTAAGTAGAACTGAAGAAGCAAAGCAGATGGAAAAGAGGGGTGTCTTCCCCACACAGGCATCAAATCTGCTCAGGAGAATGTGCACGCGGAACCTGGTTCGGAAGTATTGCCACGGGATCCCAGCTGAAAGGAAAGTGCTGGTAGGTGCGTGGTGTCGTGCGGGAGGCAGGACGGCCCTGCTGGCAGATGCGCACGCCTAGCCTCCCGGGCCTCTGCTCCGCCTGTCAGCTGAGGCTCGTGCTGGCCGCGCCTCATCTGTGTTGACAGTTAAATGTACGTAAGCCACTTAGCAGAGCCCTGCCCTCCTCAAGTGGCAGCGGTTACACCAGCTTGACAGTTACCATGGGAACAGTGCCGGTCCCCTTCTCTGCTGGAGGCTTAGCTTTGTATATGCTTCTCTGCCGGGCAGCAGATTTTTTTTTAAAAGGGACAGAAAATACTCCAGTCTTGGTGGGCCATATGATCGCACTCATAAATATTCAGCTCGGTAGTGACAGCAGGAGCACAGACAGCCATAGTGGAGGGCATGGCTGTGCGCCAGTAAAACTACAAAAACAGGTCACAGGCTGGACTTGACCAGCTGGCCCATCTGATTTAGAAGAAGCTGCTCTGAAGCCCCAGACACCTCACTTGTAGAAGCCGACAGACAAGCCCACATCCCCCCAGTCTCCACAAGTGTCACTTTTAGGGCAAATAGGCCAAAGCCAGGGGGGTGTTCTAACTTGAACTGGGGGGGTATGAGAGCCTCCCACCACCCACCCAAGGAGGCAAGTGCCTCTGTCCCATGGCGCCGCTGGTGACCGTGCTCGTGTTCTTGTTATGTCTTAACCAGATGCAGCAAAAGGTGGTTGCAAGTGAAGTGTTCAGGGGGAAGAAAGAAGGCTACACAGAAAGTTTAAATCAGCCCTTTGCCAACAGCCGGATAGGTGAGTACACTTCTCCACTCACTCAGTTTGGATAGAAGGCAAAGGAAGGTGCTGGACCCCACCACACCTCCTGCCCGCTGATTTCCCAGCTCAGGAGGATCTAAGAGCAGATGCCAGTGCGTATGCCCGGCGGTCTCAGTGATGACTGTGCTCTGGTTCCCTCCCTAGATGAAGGAGACATTAATCCCAGAGTGCTTCAGTTAATGAGCGGTGAGAAGATCCAGGTACGGAGGCACATGTCCTGCTCCAAGAGGAGTCCCTTCTGCAGCCTGAGCACAGGGTGTTTTCCATGTGACGGACGACAGAAGAGCTGCTGAAATGCGGGTGTGGAGGCCAGGCCCTCACCTGACACTGGGCATTAGCTCAGATTATAGGGACATGACAGACACCTGTTATGCTCTTTACCTGTCTCCCTGAGAGCTGCCTGGTTTTCTTTGAAGCTGTGAAACGCAGCCACAAACTTAACCCTCACATAGCCTGTGAGTGAGCAGCTCTCTGGCAGGTGACAAAGTGGGCTGCACAATACAGTGAAGGGTGTGAGGTCCTGGCCAGATTCAGCTCTGTGCTGCTGTCCTCCCAAGGAGGTAACGGTTCTTGAGAGGACAAAGGAGTCCACAGTGTGAACTACAGGAAGCAGCTGGTGAGCACACCCTAGTGGCTGCCCAATGCCTTTGGCTCCTGGTAAAACAGAAACCTGACTGAGTGGGCTGTGAGGGTACTTTCGTCCCTGCTGACCTCCCAGAGTGACCTGTGTGGCCGATGCCTGTTGCCCTGTCTCAGGAAGGCAAGGCTGTAGAGAACAAGGGCGCAGAGAGCAAAACCCTTTGCAAAGTCTCGGGGTTCTGAGGGATGGCACTCTGGGGGCCACACTACCTGAAGCAAACCTCCCCGGTGGTGACAGTCGTCTCCTTGCAGTATGGCGTCCCAGTCACTAAGTATGACAGGAAGGGCTTCAAGGCAAGGCAGCGGCAACTCATTCTTACTCAGAAAGCAGCTTATGTGGTGGAACTTGCCAAAATCAAGCAGAAAATAGAGTACTCAGCACTCAAAGGTAAGATGCGAGCAAAGACTGCATACTAGATGGATCTAGCTCCCAGGCACGTGGCGAGGAGCCCCCCAAGTGGGAGACAGCCCAGGGTGCCCGGGGCTGTCCAGGCCTGTGCCTCTCACTCTGGCACCCCCTGCTCTCAAGTATCCAGGTTGGACCTACAGCCACTGATTTTTATTTAGCGCACAGGCCCTATGGCCACAGCATGCTGTTCAGGGAACAGGTCCTCACCCTACTGTGCCAACTGGGAGGAAGAAAGTGTGTGGGTGGGGGCCCCTAGATGTGCCTTGTTTTTCTCTGCATTAATGTCCAGCTCTTGGCCCCTAACTTTGGATGTGTCTTAAGGTATCTCTACCAGCAACCTCAGTGATGGAATCTTTGTCATTCATGTTTCGCCAGAGGACAAGCAAAAGGTAACAGACATTCCCTTGTCCCTAAAAGAGACCTGGCACACTGTAAGTGGCCATTGTGAAACCTGTGTCACGTGTCCTCTCCATCTCAGGGGGATGCCATCTTACAGAGCGAACACGTGTTTGAGGTGGTCACCAAACTCGTCATGCTGGTGAAGGAGAACATGGTGACTGTCGTTCAAGGAAGGTAGATGCTTTCAGCTCCAGTGCTTGTCAGGACGGAGGGGAGGCAGATGCCCATGTTTCCAAGGAGGTGGTTATGTTCCCAGGAGGGGCTGTCCCCCAGAGACGCTGACCCTCCCGGCAGGTCACAGCCGCCTGGAGGTCGAGATTAGGGCAAGTGCGGACGTCCTGTCGGGATGTGAGGTGACTCGTCAGCACATGCCCGGGTGACGTTCTCCCAGATGCCCTCCTTATCCCCAGACCATGCTCCCAGAGCCCAGGCAGCATCTCCCCTTCAGACTCCCGCTGCTCCTAGCAGGCCTCGACTCTTTGTAATTTGCTGAGTAAATTCATATGGACTGTGAAGAGCGAGTCGGAGGCGCTGGCAGGTGGTGGTTCTTGTCGGTCTGTTGCTGGGGGAAGACCCAGCCCCATATGAGCTTCTGCTTTGAGAGGTATAGGTGGGGCTTTTGCCATCAGTTGGCCCCTGAAAACAATGTGCCAAACTGATGTTAAGATGCTACAGAAATGTGATGTTTCCCTGCTGCAGAAATGATTTTCTTCCTTTGCTTGCCCAAATACGTAGTAAGGCAGGAATTCAACTAAGCTTCATAAGTGAATTTCTCTTGCAGATCAAAGACTGAGGAAAACAAAGGTTGGTAACTCACTATTCTATGTTTAAGTTTACAGTTTTATATCAGCCCTGGAAGAGAAGGCACAATAGTTTTTGACACTGGACCAGAAGAACAAATCTACAGAGATAAAAATGGACATTTAACAGTGGTGAGTAGCTGTTTGGGGAGGGAGGTAAGCAGATTTAGATTTGAAACTCCGCCCATTTCAGCTCCAGTTTGACTGTTCCAAGTTGACCGGCACCATAGGCGAGTTCATTTCTCCCTCGATGTCTAATTCCACACCTGAAAAACAGGCAGAAACTGGCCCCTGGAATTCTTCCTGGCGAGCTCTGAAAACGACTAGTGCTGTGCCGCACGCCCAGAACTGTGGTGTGACTGGCTGGGGTGTGGCCTGGGCTCAGTGCGCAGATGCCCCGTGTACACTGCAGGGAGGGGTGTGGTGCTCTGCCCTCAATGCCAGCTGCCCGGAGCGGCACCACAGGTACTGACCGCCCCCGACGGTCACACACACACAGCGTCATTTTGATCTGATTTAGCTAGGAAATGTCAAAAGCCAACAGGACTGAATCTTTAAGGCATGTTTTGTACATACCAAATACTATAATCAGAAAATGGTCTATCACCAAGAAGTTTGTTAAGCTCACTGAAATTTGCACACATGAAACTGAAGTTTTCTGTATGTACAACAGTGTCTTTATAATACAATCAGACCCCTTGAGGGCAGGTTGAAATATGTGCACATCATCTTGTCAACGAGATGGTGATTTTCCCCTTTACATGTGGTCTTAACATGCTTGCCCTTTGAGACTAGGTATATCCCCTGGAATCACACCGCCTGTCTCCCCACTTGGCAGGCTCAAGAGGCTAACAGGCCACAGCTAGGCCACTTAAAAATGTGGCTTGAGTGGCTGTGGGGCTGGCTTCTCGAAGCTCACCCAAACCCACCTTGATGATGCTGACAGTTGGGGTGATGAGAGGCCAGGTGCGCGGTCCCTAAACCTAAGCATTTGCCTTCTGCCAGGTGTCGGTGCACATGAAGTCCTGACAGAGGAGGAGGTTGTCCTGTCCCCATTGCTCGGAGTGAAGGACCTGGGAGTGAGGATTCGATCCAGGCAGCTACACCTCAAGGGAAGGGATCACCACTGCAGAAATAGCGTGGCATCTCCCGACAAAGCCCAGGCCCTGCTCCTCAGTGCTCTGCAGTGCTAAATTAAGATGTCTTTTCAGGAATCCAACCTCAAGTCACCTAAGGGAGTGGTTTTAAAGGCCCCCGACCCTGATGGGCACTGACTATCGTCAGGGTGGACAGCTCTCTACTCTCATCAAGTGGCCCTGAGACACAGGACTGCTGGTTCAGTGAGGAATGAAATTTCAGAAGCTGCACAATCTGAATTTGGCTTTAAATACGTGGAACATAGAAATTAAGGAACTGGGTACCTTTCTGAGAAGCTTTCAGCTCGAGATGGTGAGTTCTATCCACAGCTGATCTCCTAGTACTCAATCAGCACCGGCTGGCTGGCCTTCCTCTAGCCAAGAGCCTCCCACCCCATGAGACTGTCACTGTTTCCACCCTGAGTGGCGCTAGGTGGGAATGCAGGTCTCTGCCACAAACTTGCACATCTGTGACTTGACTGTGCATTTCCAAAAAGACCCAGAAAATAGACGCAGGGGCATGATTTTTATTTTACACGTTCCACAAAGGCTCATACAACAGTGACTACAGCTAAAGCTTACTGTGTTTTTCATAGCACAGAGACAAAAAGGGTAGTGACACAGATGTTACAGGGACTGGGGGACCCTAAAGATAGCGCACATGACAGAGGGGAGCTAAGTGTTCACCCTGGGTCCTGAACAGCTGCTGTCAGTACAGGTGAACGCACTCAAGGCCGGCTGCCGGCAGCACCGGGCGCCCACCGCAGGAGGGCGAGGCGGCCGCTGAGGCAGGAGCCCGGGCGCCAGTCCCGGGACCACGACCAGACGACTTATTTGAAAAAAACTGAACCAATCACTGAGGGCTGTTACGCTTTTGTAAGTAGTCACATGATCATAAAACCCCACACAACAAGCCAGTATTTTACTTAGCTTTTAAGCAAGACCCCTGGCTCGCCCTCGTGTGCACAGTACCAGCTCCTCTGGTAGCATGCTGCGACCAGCTGACACTTTGTCAGCTCCTGGCTCTACATGCAGCTAACATGGAATGTTTATGCATCTGTTTGTATCCCAGGGAAGCAAAGACTCAAAACTACAGGTGCAAAGCTGAAAGAAAGTAGAGAGACTGCCAGAACATTAAGTCATACGGTGTAAAGCCAAAAAAAATCAGATTGTTCCACAAACTAATTCTTTACATAAACATTTAAACAACTTAAGACGATGGCGGTTCCATCCTCCTACAGAAAACATCAGACTGACATACTTCACCATTCTAAAAAAGTTCAACCCGAACAGCAGGGTTGGTGTTCGTCGGTATAAAAAAATCTCATAACACCTTAAGCCCCCCTTTTCCTTAATAAAACCCAGGTGGCCAGATAAGAAAGTTTCCACATGACAGCTAAAAATTGTACATTGGGTGGATGTTTCTTAAAAGTTCAGTCATGATTGTTTTGAAGTTTTATTGTAGTCTTTGTTGCTGGCTTCAAAATAAAGTTTAAGCTGTAAAAAACCATTTCAAAATAGAAACTCGTTTTTTGGAGTACATTGTGTCAAAGGATGCTCACATGAATACCTTTGGTATAAAACAGTAACATTTCCTTGGCCAAGCAGACAGCAACCCACCCACTGCTTTCTTACACATTCGCGTCTCCCGAACTACTCTACCTAGTCTAGTCTCAACCACCCAGCTAGTCACACTCGCTTCTGTCCCTTCACAGGCGCAGGAGACTGGAGGTAGTAACTGAGGACATCCGTCCTACACTCCACCGAGCAGACAGAGGCTCCAGTGCGGGCCTCCTGTGCCCACAAGCACATGTCCCCATCGACAGTCACACGTCCCTTGCGCAAACGCCACCACAGACACTGACCAGCCCCAGGGGGTCTGCACATGCTCTCACCCGCTCACTGACGGCCACTCCTTCCTGTGTGAAACTCAGAGGCAACGACACACAGGGGTCTCCAGCTGATGCAGTTTTTACAGCAGGGAGACTACTCTGAGAGGGGGCTGCTGGTGTGGTGGGTCCCCACAAGGATGCCAGGCTGGGAGGACAAAGAGGCTGGTGCCATGTCTAATTTGGAAGCATAGGGGCAAGGATGCACGGGCGCCCTGGGGCAGTGGGTTGTGAGCTTCCAGGCCAGCTGGGCTCCTGGGCATGGTGTGGGTCAACAGAGGAAGGGAGGTTGGAAAGGGTGTGGAGCTAGGAAGAGGCCTGTCTCTAGCCAGGTATGGTCCCAGCAGGCATCAGATCAAAGACCAGCCATAGTAGCAACAGATGCCCTGAACAGCCAGGCACCCAGAGCTGTGCTAGGATTCCCCCATTCGGAGGCATGAAGCTTATCAGGTCTCTTCTCCACGACCACCTCACTGAGTTAGAGGTGGAAACCTGTCGCAGAGTGGACCTCTATCAAAGACATGGAGACAGTGAGCCAGGCGCGTGGGAGCGGCATCACTGGGTAGAGGGTCAGGAATGAGGGAGCACGGCCATCTCGGGTGGCCACCAGCTGCAGGATCCCTCTCAGAGCAGTCAACCGGAACCCCAAAGGGAATGCCACCTGAAAAGTTCACACAGGTAATCAACACCCACAAAAAAATAAATACTGTAGACAAAGGTTCTCACATACACTTCACACCCATCCACACGTTTCCTCCGAGAACCACAAAAGCCTGACTTCCAGGATCTCATGGAAAGAGACACCTTGGACACAGCTGGTTCAAAACAGGGCACAATTCACCTCTGGGTAACGACAGCCAACCCACCTTGGAATATCAAAACAACCTTCTGGCTCGTGACAAAGTCTCTCCAGGGCTCCAGGGGAAGCGGAAGGGCCCAGGAGCTGCAAAGGATCTGAGTGTAGCACGGAGGGAGGGCAGGGCAGTCAGTGCTTGCCTGCTCACTGGTGGAGATGGGCCCGGTCGTCGGGCCGCTTGATGTGGATCCTCCGCACACGCTCTATCCGCTCCCGCTCCCGCTCCTCGTCTTCGTCCAGGTGATGGGAGCGCCCGGCTGCGCCGCCAGTGGCCTCTAGGAGTGCATTGTCAGGTCCCCGACCATCCTGGGCCTCATACAGCAAAATATTCAGGGTCTCCTCATAAATCCGGGCTTCAGGGAACTCAACCTGAATCCCCACAAGACACAAGGCAGGTAAGTTAGCATCACACACAACCCCCCCCCCATCCCGGTAACCAGATTTACTCTTCAGAGATTGGAGGAAAGGACAGTATACGCTATGGTTAAAAAAGAAAGCCCATGCGTAGAGCCCAAGGAGAGCAGCAAGCAGAGGAAGTAAAGGGACCAAAGTTCAATTATCAGTGGACTCTAACAGTGCTGTGGGCTTGATTGCGCTTTGCAGAATGTGACAGCAACAGAATTCATGGGAAAGGTCAAGTGCAATGGTTTGGAGAGGATGACAGAAAAATGGATCCGGGTTAGCCAGGGAGTCATGAGCTTGGCAGGAGGCCAACAGGCTTCACCGAGTGACCGGGTCCTGTGACAGTGGAGGGACACTCCAGGTCAGTGTGTAAGAGAACAGACAACTGGTAAGTAAGTTGGTCATGACCAGAAGGTCACTGTTCCTGATGAGGGCGCTGGGATGGGGACGTGTGGTGGGAATGACAGCCGTGGAGGGTGGCAGGAACAGCATAAGCAGAGCTCCACCAAGCCCAGAGACCCAGGGCACACGGACACGTCTGAATCAACGTCACGGCAAAGGAACCGAGGTACGGTAGGACTGTCTCCACTTGCCGAGCATCAGACAGGCAACACCATTCTGTGCTTCCAAGACCTACACTTGGATCTTCCAGGGCCCAGAAGATAATGAATAATTTAACAATGAGCAATCATGACTCCAGAAAAACATTTGTAAAGCCTTTCCTGCTATGTTGCTTTTGCTCCAGTGAGGAGGGCAGCGGGGAAGTAGCCAGCACCACTCGAGGCGCTTACCTTGGTCTGCTTCTTCTCAGTGGCATAAACGATGGACGTACAACAGACTTCAGCGATCTTGCGGCCCTGGCCGTAAAAGGACCAGCAGCAGATCTCGTCTCCAATGACGTCCTTTATGAACAGGACCCTTCCATTAAAGCGCAGAGACAGCTTATCAAACAGCTCAATGTTTTTCAACATATTGTCGTCAGAATTGCTGCAAGAGAGCATATGATAAGGTGACCCCAGCCAGAGACATTTACACCTGCTGGGCCCTCATGTCTACTATCACATTTCAACCCACGATAATCCCATACGAAGCTTTACTGTGCCACTGCTCAGAGAAGAAAGGGGAAGGTCAGAGAAATTAGGTTAACTGCGAGGGGCCAAAAACTAACAAAAAGCAAAACTGACAATGGCAAAGCGAGGTCTCAGAAGCCACAGCTCCAGCCAAAGCCCGAGCATGGACCTGCTGCTGATTGCCTGCTCTGCCCACGCTGCAGTGCTGAAGAAGACACTGGACAGGGCACTCAGGAGGGGACATGGAGACCCCTGAACCACAATTACTGAAGAAACTGCCCAAGGGGGACGTTACCTGGGGTAGTTTATGGAACATGGGCAAATTCGTGAAACCTCCCTGCACCACTCAAGGTTCTGACTGAGCCGCATGTTCCAAGGGCCGAAAGGTGTTGCTGGTGGGAATGGGAAAAGTGATGACGCTGCTTTGGAAACAGTCTGGCAGTCCCTCAGAGGAGCACAGTTACCACACAATCTCGCACCCCTGCCAGGTGTACACACACAGGAGAAATGAGGCCCTGGGGCCCTGTGAAAACGCGCACATGAACGAACGCTCACAGCAGCATCAGTTACGATTATGGAAACGACCCTAACTGTCCATCAAGCAATGAATGTAGACAAACTGCGGTCCATCCATACAATGGAATATTATTCATCCATAAAGTGGAATAAAATACGGAAACATACAACATGGATGAAACCTGTGAGGAGCTAAGTCAGAGAAGTCAGGCACAAAAGGCAACCTATGATTTCATTCCTCGGAGGACAGGAGCACACAACTCCATAGAAACAGCAGCAAAATAGTGGCTGACTAGGGCTGGGGATGAGGAGAGGAGATGGAGGGAAATGGGAGTTACAGGGATCTTTTGGGTATGAAAACATTCAAAACGAGGTAAGTAGTGAGCACCATGCAATACTGTGAATATATGAAAATTAACACTGCTGTGTACTTTAAAAGGATGAACTTCATCTCACAACAGCCTCGCCTATCTCATCCACCCACCCACATGTCTATCTAGCTGGGTATCTAGCGATGCAAGCTGCCTTCATCTGAGGAGACAGAGAGGAGCTGGGCCTGGCTGGTGTGAGCGGAGGCGTGCTGGGGAATGCAGTTGTCTTTTCTGGCTGACGCCTTACCTGGTATATGAGTATTTGTTGTTACTTCTGTTGTACAGCAACTTCACGGCTGGCTGTGGGTTGTTTTAAGAAAGAAGAGAAGAAGAGTTACTGAGAATGCAGAAACAAAGATCCACTGGCTTCCCACAGAGCTGAGGCCTGCCACCAGGCCAGAGGTGTAGACACGGGGAGCTTGCCAGCGGAGAGGGGGATGGCGTGGCCCCATATCTGGGGAACACAGCACAAGGCGCAGGTTCCCACTCTCAATCCCTCCTCAGGTCTTGCTCAGACCACTAGACATGTTTTTATTTCACAATGTGTTGAAAGAAGCTCTATCACTTCTGGTAGTAAAAGAAACACCAACTTACCTTATTTGAAGTTGCTATAAGTTTCTGTTCTTCCTTGGATGAGGTGATGACAGGAACTTTGCAGAAAGGCTCATAAGTATCTTTGTTCTGCTGGAACAAAACATGCTTTCAGTTTAGGAGGCCTGCCCAACACTGGATTATTTCAGCTGGCCTGCCAGCAAAGACAGGCTCTGCAAGGAGAGGTGGAAAGAGAAGAGGATTCTTACCACCAGTGACTCAGGATGGCAGGAGACAGAATCGCGTTCCCCCAAGCCTGCTCTTTGGCCAGGGCCACTGTGTGCACTGCTCAGGGCACACTAACAATGCCAGCACTTCTCCACAACCCGGGAAGTCCCTCAAAAATAAACCCTGAACGTGGCCACAGAAACAAAATTAAATCAAAGCTCCTAAAAGCCCACTTCCATTACTACAGAGGAATAACACGGGGGTAAGCATGCCCAGTAGGAGAAGGAACAGAAGGAAAGAAGTCAGCAGGCAAAAGATGCCAAGATTGAAGGTGGGACAGCAGCTCACAGACGAGTGGTAACCACGGCATAGGAGAGAGCTGAAATCTACGAAAGCAAAGAGGAAAGACTGCTGGGGATTCTTCACAGAACAGCTCTGACACCAGGCATGGTGCCAGCACAGAGAGCTGCCTACAGCCAGCAGAATTACTGGTGAGATCCCCAGACAGATTTCATTCCCAAGCCTGGCAGGAAAAAAGTCCACTTTCTTGGAGGGGTTTGCATAACAGAACACAGGCTGGGTTGCTATTCTGAACCAGCGAACAGGCTACACACTAAATGATGAGGTTCCCACCTCCAAGCCCTTCCTCTACTCAGATCCCAGAAGGCAGTCAGCAAGGCTTCCACCCACCAGGTAAGAGAGCAGAGGATTCCTCTAACTGATCTGTCCGACAAAAGACTGACAGATGCTGACATCGGGAGTTCCCACTGAGAGGTCAGCCAAGGCCACCAGATCAAGGACCACTCAGGAATAAATAGCTTTTCAGTCTTACTCTTAAGTTTCAACAGTCAGCCAGGGATCATCAGATTGTATATGGAAAACCTCTTAAATATAACACAGAAACCAAACCAGAGAGAGAAAAGGGAAGGAGATGCTGAAGAAGAAAGAAAGAAAACTTCAAATAGTATTAGAGAACCAAGACCAAACGGCATGCCGTATAAAAAAAACAACTCAGAGAAGACTCTTCTAAATTAGAAATATGACAGGAGGAATGACAAATTCAAGAGAAGCACTGAAGAAGTAAAGTCACTGAGAAAGTACAACAGAAAGATAAAAGTGTCAGTAAGTGGAAGGCAGGCCTGGAGGTTTGCCCAGACTAACAGAAAGGGAATCTAGAGGACATGCCCCAAAAAGAGGAAAGAGATTCTCTGATGTGTCTACAAAGACCACAGGGGGAAGATCTTTCTGGACATTCAGAACTGAATCAGGGAGTTACAATAAGTAGAGCTATGTATTTAGAAAACCAAGCAAACACTAAAGCAAACACTAATTGTCACAAACTGGAAAAATTACAAACACCAAAATTCATGTATACTCTGTGGTTCAACAATATTTACACATCACACTGTAAACTGAATACTGATTTAATCATAATAAAGTATTGGGAGAATGGAAGAAGGAAGATGTATGTTGGTTTGGTATTGGCTAGAGATGCTGGCAGTGCACGAGTAAAAGGTTAATGTTCTGTAGTAATGCCACAGACGCTGCCGGAAACTGACATGTCAATGAGTAGTATAATAAGGACTGTGAAAGTAAACAGAACTGCTAAAAGGATCTTTTTAAAAGGCTGGGGGCAAGGGAAGGCATATGGTGGTGTTTTTCATATCAATCTTGAAATACTGCATGACTTCTTATAGGATATACATGCACTACTTTAAGAAACATAAAAAACTAAACTAAAAAAATCAAGTAGAGGCTACAACATTCAGCTAGGGCAGAGCAGGGTTTCCAGACGCTCAGGGTGGGGCTGTGCAGAAGGACAGCTTGAGGAGCTAGGCAGCGTGGACAGTGCTCCAGCAAAACCCCAGATGCGTGGCGGTGGGAGGCACAGGCATGAGCCTCATGTAAACAGGTCTGACTCCTGACAACCTGCAGGGACTCCCCAACTGCTGCCACTTTGGATACCCCTTGAAATTAAAGGCTGCTGGCTATGTCTAAAAGCATTATGGTTTTGTAGAAGTTTGATATCACTAAATTTGACCCCAACGGTCTCATCTCAGGTCTCATCACTCTAAGGAGTGAGGAGTGTCTGTCTGTATAGATTATTCTAACTTGCAACAATGACTCACAGGGTGAGAAAAAGTCCCAAAATATGTCCAGAAAACCATTTTACATCCTGTGGCCAGAATGAGGGTTGCTATGACACATGAGATGACCCAACACTGGGGGCGGAATCAGCAGCTGGCGACTAAGCATGAAAAGAAGGCTCTTTGAGGTCACCCCGACCAAAGGGGAGCAGCCAGGGTAGCTCACTGACTCCCACAGCCTCTCAGTGAGGGAGGAACTGCCCTCTTCAAGGGAGCTAGGCAATGAGGACAGGTGGGTTGGTGCCTCCCCATCCATCTGGTAAGAAAGGGAGATGCCTACTTGCAGGGCGGCCTGGCACTCCTCCACCAGGCCCTGGACCAGGTAGTACTTGGCTTCTGCCAGCAGCTCTTCGATCTCCCGGCGGCTCTCAGGCAAGGGGACTGCCCCATCACGAAGGTAGTTGAGTATTGTACCGAAGTGCTTCCCACAGCGATCAATGAGGATCCAGCCTGCAAGGGACAGAGGACGGTAGAGGCTCCTTATCCAGTGCTCTCCGGGAAGGTGCTGAGGAGAAGGGTGTGTCTCTTGGCTCCCTCTAACTTCCAGGGCAAAGTACACCACGGAGAAGGCTGCAGCCCCACCCACCTCGCAGCCCTGTGGGGCAGCATGAGCACAGATGCAGGCCCAGGGCCCCTGAGGCCTAAAAGCACACTGAGAGCACCCTCAAAAATCCCTTGAACAAGAACATCTCCACAGGGGCCAAGTTCCCCACTTCTGGAATAACAGGGGTCCAAACGACCAACCCAACGATGGAGTGAAAATGTCTGCTACTTCTTTCTCTAACACTTTACACATTTTTCAGACTCCTGAATAACCATCATTTCTAAGAAAACAGACCACAATCTCTGACTCTTAAGGGTGACCTCGACACTCGCCAACTCCACACAGACAGTTCCACTTCTAACTTCCACACACTGGCAAGTGACAGTGATGCGACAAAATAGTGATCCAGACAGACCAAGGCCTCAAGCAGTTCAGGCTAACTCAGCAGCTGGACTCGCTTTTTTTTTTTTTTAAGATTTATTTATTTATGCATATAAAATCTGGGGGTACAGGCCAGAGGATGGGGGTTGAGGGGTGGGGTTGGAAGGATTTACCAGAGACAGGGTGGGGAGCAGACTGACTGAAGTACACTGCTGAGGCGAGCAGCGGGTGGGTCAGGGGAGGTCTACTGTGCCATGTGGGTCAGCTCCCTGGCCAAGAACCGAACTTGTGCTGCAGTGGCCTTGGATAGTTTTATGGTGCTGTGCTTTAACTCGATGTGCCACCAAGGAGGGCCGGGACTCACTTTTATTAGATGTGGGACAGTGTCTTAACCGCGACCAGAACCCAACACATGTGAGCACTTCTTGGGACAGGATCAGGCAGGCAAGCCCTTCTGCTTCTCAGTGTCCCCTCCAGCCTCCTTGCTGGTCTATAATCCTTCCCCCAGAAATCAGGGGGGTTTGCAAAATTCCACTAATGAAATGCTACTGTTCTTGGGAGTGGTAAGCAGGACTGGAGCCCAGGAAGAAAAGGAGGTACCAAAAAGAGAGGTAGGAATGGAACAAACAAGTTCTATTTTCTCCAAAGAAAACATGAAGTAATAGAAGAAAGGCAGCCACTGACAGTGAAGTCCCAGTCTTCCCCACCAACAATCTCCAACAAGGGGCCTCCAAGTCTCCTGCCCCCACCACAGGCGTGAAAACACTAACACACAGGGCAGTGGGAGGTATAAGTAAGAGTCCGTTGTTGCTTCTGGTCAGTTTGGGAGAAGGAGCCCACACTCCCATCCCTAACACCTCTGGATCCAAACCCAGCTTCTCTACAGTTCCCAGGGCCCTGGTTAAGAAACCAACAAAAGTTGGCCCTCCCTGGTGGCGCAGCGGGTTAAAGCACAGCACTGAGAATCTAAAGCCATTTCCGCATGAGTTCGATCCCTGCCTGCCCCAGAGGTGATCACATGGCGTGGCAGACCTCTCCTGGCCCGCCCGCTGCTCCCCTCAGCAGTGTACTTCGTCAATCTGTCTGTTCTGCTCCCCACTCTGTCTCTGGTGAAGCCTCTCACCCTCTGCATCTCTGGCCTGTACCCCAATTCTGTATGAATAAATAAATCTTAAAAAAAAAAAAAAAAAAAACAAAGTTAAGAGCAGCAAACACTTGAGTCGAGAGTCACCCCTAAACCCACCAGCCCTACAAGAGTCCTCCAGGGGCTCCCCTGCACTGCTGCTCCTTGCAGCATCTGCCAGAGAGCCAGTGGCTAAGTCGTACCCCTCACAGTGACTGATGGCTCTTGCACGGCAGCCCGAGACAACCAATGTGGACTTAGTTATCTGTTACCTGGCTCACATGCCCACGGGGCCTTGAGCAAGTAGCACAAATTAGCACAGGGCCCCTTGGTGGGGGGAGCTCTTCCTGCGTCAATTAATCCTGGTCCACAGGAACATGAGCCCAGGGATGCAAGAGCCTCTGACGTTTCACTCAAAGTCAGAAATGCAGATTTTCCTGTGGTGGCAAAGTATTTTTAAACAGCCCTAATCCACCACAGGTCAGACCTAATATCCTCAGGTGGCACCGGGCCCGCACGCCACACCAGCTACCACATTCATTACCCAGAACAGTGCTTTTCTTCCAGTGAGTTGACAGGTGTGGAAAGACAGTGTTACCTGCCCAACTGTGCTTTTGAAGGGGGCTCATTCCTGTGTTTCCCACAGGAGAGAAACAGGCTCGGAGAGGCTGACTGGCTTTCCCAAGTAGAAGAGGCAGAACTAGGCCACAAAGAACAAGAAACTCACAGGAGAAAGTCTTCCACCAGAACTGAGAAGACAAACAGACTCTAAGTCTACAGGACAAATAGCAACCAATCCCAGCTGCACTGGGAAGAGAAGATCCATACCTCTGACGCTTGGACAACACAGCTGCTAGAGAGAGCAAGGCCCCAAAAATCAATGATCTGAGTGGCAGTCCAATGTTTCCATAAGCGAACAGGCAGACCATGACACTGGGCTACAGCTCAGGAATGCCGTCAGGAAATGCTTGTGGCAAAGGAATCATACTTTGGACAAATAAGGGCAAAGGAGCCAGGCACGCTCTCCATCAGGTTTCAATTAGCATGCTGACTTGAAAATATTTTAGTTGTTTTCAAAGCAGGCCTGTATCCCTTCGAAATAGTCAGCTCAGCATGCAGAAAAGCAAATGCAAGTCAAGCAGCTCTTTGCCTACGGGGTGTCCTCCCTGCTGCCTCAGCCCGCAGGGACACTCAGGAAGCTGTAGCGTCAGAGGTCTGATGAGCCCTTGGCAAGGCTGGAGTGCAGAGCAGGAGGGGTGCAGACCTGGAGGTGCAAGGGCGCGGGGGGTGAGATGCAGCGCAGTGGGTACAGGGCAGGCCTGAGCAGGAGCCAGCTGTGCCTACCTGCTGGAAGACATGGGTGTTTCACTGAACCTCTCTGTCCAGCACTTTCCTCATCCAGAAAAAGGTGCCCCACATGGCTGGCATAAGAGAAGCACGGGAAGCATACGGCACCACGCCGAGTCTGCCTGCGACACTCAAATTAGATCTGACTGTGAGCCCTTCACCCACCTTATCAGTGTCGGGGGACAGAGCATAGCAGCGGTGTCCAGAAGTGCCAGTCCCAGCCTCCAGGAGGAACTGTATGGCTTTCGGGTCTATCAAGGTTCATCTTGGGGGTTCATCTTGGGGGTCTGGGAGATGGGCCCCCAGCCCCACCAGCATACCTCGTGCTTCCTCCTCCACCCCTAGCCCTCTTCGGGGAGCTTTCACTGACCTCTTCTTAGCACATTAAGTATCTATACTCTTGAGTTTCTCTGGCTCCCAAACCTGCCTAGTAGAAAGTTATCTGAGGCCTGTTACAAATTCAGGTTCCGGGAAGTTGTCTCATCTGGAACCAGCATCTCCAGGGCAGGGATACTCAGCCTCAGCCAGGGTTATTGGGGTTGGTGGGGGGAAGGTCCTGAGCACTGTAGGGCGTTTAGTGGGATACGTCCATGGCCTCTACACACTGGACACCATCAGCGCTGTCCCCAAACTCTCTCTGGACATTGCCAAATATCCCTTGAGGGTCAAAACTCATCCCCAGGTGAATACCAGCCAGCTGTAAGAAACAATGTAAAACTCTGACATCCTCTGGGAAAAAATATTTCAAAACAGAACAACAAAAAAAAAGTGAGATCTGTAACATACAGCTACAAAGCAGTAAGAAAAAGAAATGGGCAAATGGGTAAATAAGAAATCAGGCAGTTTGATAAAACAAAAAGGACCAATAAACATAAAAATATGCTAAAAATTAGGAATGTTAAACCGACAACAGAGCACCCCATCACAACCACCAGACCACAATTAGAAGGTCTAGCAGCCCCCAGTGTTAGCAAAAATTCAGACTGCCACGAGGGGTGTAAAGCGACACAACCGCTAATATCTATTCAAGCCTAAGACGCTACTCTCAGCTCAACCCCCTGGGAGTAACCTGGGGCAGCGCTGTCAGCAGTAAGGTTTTAATGCTGCACCCTGAGGTGGCGGTGGGTCTGGGGTCTGCAGGCTCACACTCACAAAGTGAAAACATGTGTTTCTGCATGTGCCATGATGTGGCAAAGCCTAGGCAGCAGTGCCCCTGGGAAATGCACATGGGCAGAGGGAGAGTGTTCCAGAACAATGACCTTCCTGATGGTGAAGGCTGGAGCCATCCAGACACCTGTCAACAGAACAGTGCTGCAGGCAGCAGCAGCCCTGGAATGAACACTCCACCTCCCCTCCACCCCCACCAAAATGTCTGACCTGAGCAAGAGCTAGTTACTCAGGGCTTGATCCCAAAAGCATCCTGCTCAGTGAAGCAGAAGCAAAACACTACAAACAATAGGA